CTAGATATTTTCCACTTAGACTAGTGTTATATTGATTCATACGTAGCTCATATTTTCAAACGAGATAGAATTTATGGAGGGATCCTGCACTGTGTGCCTTTGACACTTTCATGAATGTGACCTTCAGATGACTAACATTCCAATTAACAGTGTTGTCCCAGAGCTTTCCCATCTCATTCATATATTGTTTGATATATTCAATGTACTATAATTCATAGTTTAAAGAAGAATATATGTAGAAAACCTGGAACAAGTAGTCTAATTCTTTCCACACTGGCTTAACCAAACAGAAATTAAACACAGGGAAGATGTTTATGCTGTATGCTATACAAATACAACAGCAGCCTTGTATGTCTATCAGATTTTGTGGTCTCATAACATTGTGTGCGAGAGCTAAAAGGACTCCTGCAAATTATTCTTAGTGTAAGAATACAAACACACTATTTTCACTTTCAGAATTATCACTACTGTAATACAAACATTATTTGGTAAGTATGTTATTCTCTGTCTTCTGCCTTCAACCTAATCCTGCAAAGTTGGATGAAGAGGCATTACACCACTGACACCTAGGTGTTCTAACTCACATTATCTCCAGCAAGCAGGGTCAAGGCTATGTGGTCTGTCTATGATGGGACCTGTAGTACAATGCTAGAGAGCACTGGACTGGAAATGGCTACTTCTAAAGCTGTTCATCCCCATCAAACATATTAGATGTCAGCTACTTCTGTTTAGGATCTACCAGATATTCTTTAATATCAAATTATCTAGCTTCTATTTCAGCTGTCCTACCCTTCCTGTAGTAGCAAGTTCCAGTGTAGCAAGAAGATTGTTGTTAACATAGTGGACACTCTCAAGAACCACTGTAAGTATTTTATTTCTTATCTTACACAACTGTAGCACAATAGATCACATGAATTCATCTAAGATGAACCCGTGTTGAACTCAATGTGATTATGCAATATAATTTTTTTTAACTGAACATTTGGTAGCTTACTTAACCAAATTTTGTATCTTAAGCTAACTTAAAATTGGCAAGCCTTTGTCTTCACCCTTTGATACACATTGTATTAAAACAATTGTATCTAGGTAAATAATTGTGCTTTTTGTTCCTTCCTAGAATTTGAACAAAGGAGCCGGGATATTCAAGATAGCAACAGAAAAGGCTACAGCATTGTTCCTACAAAGAAAATTTATACATATAAAAAGTGCACTGTTTAAAAACTGAATAAAACTGAACCCTGTGGTTGTTTAAAGTAGATGCTTATGCTTCAGACTGTTTTTATTTAATGAAAGAAAAACAGTTATTTTGTGGATAGACCATGTTGGTTGAGTGACCAAGAAGTAGACTGGGACCTGTTTGAAAGTCTCCAGGCAATATGCAAAGGTTTCAAATTCCTATTGATCTCTCCATACCTTCAGTGTCGTAGCTGAAATATAATAAAGCGGTTAACAAGGAATTGTATGAATGAAGTGTGCTTTTCTTTTGATTCTGATACTTTCAGTTATGGTTCTCAAAAAGCAGCAGTGGAATAAAATGAAGCCACAGAATTTTTGAAATTATACAATATGTATTATCTTTACTCAAGTGAAAATAAATAGGCACTTAATCCAGATTGGGTCCTCCATGCAGTGAGAGGGGGACTCTTTTCTTCTCCCAATATTTGCCTGTTAAAATAATAATTGGTATCAATGGAGATGAAAAAAGCCACACATTCTAATTGTGTTGAGTAAATCAAAGAAGAGATAGAAACTGTAATATATGGCAATAATTACACATATAATACTTAAAGCAACAATAATCATACAAATATTAAAACAATGCAAAGTGCTGAATCCAAAAGTTGTAGCATCACACCTTTTTTGAAATGGGAGGGGACAAGAACCAAGCAAAATTCTAAAATAATTGCACAATTTAGGGTGTCAGGAAGAATCCCTTTATATGGGGACCAAGTAATGGGCTTCTGCAAGTGGGAATTCAAAAAAAAGACCTTCTACAGAAATTTACATCTGTGTAAGATCATAATGAGAACAACAGTCCGTCTGATAATCTTAAAGGTTAAAATTGGAAATTGGACATAAAAAGTAGCCCGTTCCAATCTTTTATTCAAGTGTAATGTGATCAGTGTAGTATATTGGTTGGACCATCACAAGAAAAACAGAAACTTCTAGCTCCAAGTTCAGCACCTTGCTTGTTGAAAAAGCCTGATTTCTGCCACTCTTAAAGTACCATTCACAAAATCTGCTCTAATTAAGAAGAGGTCAGAAATTTGCTCCAACTATATAGAACTGGTTAATTCAGCAAACTGCTTAATGGCTACATTCACCTGTTGTTAATATAACTATAGATAAGTCTGTCTTGTAAGCACAGTCACTCTCTTGCAATAACAATAGATATGTATTTTTAGTAAATCATTTAAGTAATCAAAGGCAATGTAATTCCTCACCTTTGAAAGGAAATTAGATGGGTTATCATTATATTGTTTTCCAGATGGAGCACCATTGTAGCTTCTTCTTTGGTTCCCTTTCCTTCTCCCAAGAGTTTTCTTTGGTGAGAAAGAGCAGCTTCAAGGAAATTTTTAATAAATCATATAGAGATCTTTATTGAAATCAGTAGTCTGCTATGTTTTCATCCTGGATTATCTTGTAATACTATAAACTAGGTAAAGGCTCATTCAGATAGAGTTCAACTCCTGAAGACTTCATGGGCAGAGCCATTCTCTAGACAGCCATTAACAGCAGGGATTCCCAACTTCTGTTCCATGGACTGGCACCGGTGCACGGCATGCTAGAAACTGGTCTGTGCAAACAAGTGAGGCTCCATTTATGGGATGCAGGCAACACACAAACCCATACCCCTTCTGGTCTGCGGAAAAACCTCTCTCCACGGAACCAGTCCCTAGTGCCCAAAAGCTGGGGGGGCTGATTAACAATGTCTGAAATAATTTCATATCACTCACCTCCCTGTATCCATTTTGCTTCTAATTTTGTTCAGGTACAATTCCATTTGCTGCAGGTAAAATGGGAACATGCTGGTTTTGTCTGCCCTATCAATAGAAGACCTTTTCATGAAGTGGCATTTACAGCTTATTTTTTCCCCCTCGATATTAGAATAACTGACTTAAGAAACTATGTATTTGACTACTGTAGGGGTCAATTCTCCGTTCCATTTAATGAGAAAAAATATATATATTAGCACCACTTTACCCTGTAACTTTCTATTTTCTAGAGGGAGTCCTCAACTTATGAACATCCATTTAGTGACTGTTTGGCACTGAAAAAAGTGACTTGTGACCAGTCCTTATACTTAACAACTATCATAGCATCCCTGCAGTCACATGATCAAAATTGGGGCTTTTGGCAACCAGCATGTATTTACAATGGTGGCAATGTTCTGGGGTCATATGATTTCCCTTTGTGATCTTCCCAGCCGGCTTCCAACAAGCAAAACCAATGGAGGAAGTTGGATTCACTTAACAACCATGTGACTCACTTAATAACAGTGGTGATTTGGTTAACATAAAATCATAAAATCAGTTGTGACTCACTTAACGATCACCTCACTTAGCAATGGTCATAAGTTGAAGACTATCTGCATTATAATAAATTTCAGTTTATTTGCTAAGATATTTAAATTTAATAACTGGAACAGTAGAGTTGTATGATGAGCCAGAACACACAATTATGGTTGATTGGTTGGAGAATACTGGCTCCTTCCTGAGGCAATCTGCATTGTGAATGGTTGCTGCAGGTGTGGAGAGGGAGTTTCCCTTTTTTCCCGCCTTTTTCTTGTGTGCCTGTGCACTTTGTGATTTACCTCATAATGCTCCTGTTGGCCCAACTATCTTGCTTGCTGTGAATATAGATGTAAAATATATTTATTTATATAAAACTACAAGTTCGTGTCAGCGACTCTTGACTTCATTGGGACACCTGCTGCGCAATTCCCTGACATTATTTCTCCTCAATAAAGCTACAGTCAAAAGTCTTGTTCTAAGTTATTGATTAGGTCATATAGTATTGTAACTTGGGTGGAAGGAAAGGGCAACAGGCCAGTTCTGAACAAAGACAACAGCAATAGATACGCATTGTTAGGTTTTAAGATGGTAGCATTTGATCAACCCTATTTGGGAAGTCCAAAAATCCCAGAAGAGGTCAACTGCCAATCACCTCCATATTCATGTGAGAGAGCTACATGTCTTTGTAGTTAATAGAAATTCCTAGAAAGTGCAAATTGCTCCCTGAGGAAAAAAAAAATCCTGCCGCTTTGCAGCTCTGCATAACTAGCCTTCAGCACATCCATCAGCTTGTTGGTAGCGAATCCTTGCAAACACTGCGAGTGGAAGAAGTTAGTAGAGCTGAGGGAGAAAGTTGACTTTAACTTCCTTTTTTCTCTCAACCTCCAATGCTTCTTCTCAGAGCCCTTACAAAAAGAGAAATGTTACTGGAGCTGTACAAGATGTGACTGTAATCATGATGTGATCACCTACAATCTTTTACAGCCTTTTTATTCAGCGTATTCTCTTTATCATCACCTAAATACCTGCTGTAACTGAAAAAGACACAGGACCTGTTGTTCAGTTATTGCTTGCTACAATATCATTCACAACGTGTTTTAGGCCCTGCAGAATCTTAGCAGCCTTTTCATGCAGCTCAAACTCCAAGGAGTCTCCCTCCTTAAGTGTGTGGATTCAGACCCTTTTTACTGATCCTCCCTTCCCCACCCAAGCCTCTGCATGGGGGGGGACTCCTTTAACTTGTTAATGGCTGAGGATGCTCCCTGCCATTGTTAGTTAGTGTTTGAAATGCAATGAATGTGTTGCTATAGCAACCTGTTCTTTTTACGAGGGAGAATTTATGCTGATTCTGAGGAGACCCATGGATGCATATATTAAAGAAGGGCCTCCAGTTTTTAAGTAACAAAGTCAGGTTTGCCGCCTTTGTTTCCTTGTAATACTTTTTACTAACCCTGTTTTCTCTCCTTTTCTGCATTTCTTTCCCAGCTGTAACTTACACAAGTTACAAAAAGACCCCGCCACCTGTACCCCCGCGAACCACCTCAAAGCCACTCATTTCGGTTACAGCACAGAGCAGCACAGAATCCACCCAGGATGCCTATCAGGATAGCCGGACTCAGGGGATTTCCCCGTGGCCTCAGGATGGCCTCAGGATGTACAATTCCACTGACAGTTTGGATAGCAACAAGGCTATGAATCTGGCCATGGAAACGGCAGCTGCACAACGCCACATGTCGGACAGTCAAATCAGCTCCGTAAGAACCAGCGACAAGGCCATCCTCGTGACAAAGGCTGAGGAGTTCCTGAAGAGTCGGCGCTCCTCTATTGGGATCCAGGTAGCCTGTCCTTAACACCTGTTCTGGGATAAGCTGCTCACCTGAGCTCAATAAAGAATGTCAAATGAGTCATTCAGCCCAGAAGCCCCTAATAACTTGAAAAACAATCCCTGTGTGCAGCGATTATCATGAATTACAATTCATATCCTGGCTACATGACCATGCAGGGCACAGTTGAGCCAGTGTGCAGTGCCCGGAAATAAAATGAATGAATATATCTCTGAGCCAGTTATCTGCCAATTCTAATGCTGCAGATGAAAATTATCCTGCTCAGCCACAAGTGAACACAGCATGTTCATCTTTCCCTCTTTCCCTGGAGAGATCATGAAATTATGGCTGTGCAACTGTCAAACTGCAGTCAGATATTCCTCTTCTACTTTGTGCTACCCTGCTTTTCCTTCATGGCTGTGTTTTAATTACCTAGCAATGGAGACTAATATAGAAGAGTGAGTTTGAAGCTATAAGAAAACAATCTTATAAAGAAAATAGCACTAGTAACACTTTTTTCCTTTGGTGTTTGGGAAGAAAGGAATAGATTTTGAAAGCAAATGGATTTGAATCTGCAAAATGTGATGCTATAGCCCCTGCATGAAGATTTTAATTCAATATTGATTTATTTATTCATTCATTCATTCATATCCCACCTTTATTATTTTATGGAGATAATTTCTTTGAAAATATCCCTCCGTTAAGAATGTCAACTTTGACATTTTGAATTGTTATGGTGGTATTTATTTGTGTGTGTGTGTGTGTGTGTGCATGTGTGAATTTACATTAATCATTTCCCTTCTTAAAAATTGTAATGATACCGTTCTATGATAAAACAGTAACACATAATGTTGCATGGCTTAGAATGACTTAGCATAATGTAGTACAATTTCCACTGCTGATAATGCCACTAGTGTAACAAGAAGAAATATTTCTAAGCACATACTACAACAGAAAGTATCAATAAAAATTAAAGCATGCCTATAGGTCTGACCCGCAATACAACTTTTACAAATCTTGAGGTTCCACAGAACCTGCTTATACCTCTATTTTAGAAATACACAGGTATTTCTAAAATCATCTTTACATTTGGTGATAAGAAATAGAAAGAATTCCTGGTAATAAGCAAGCACCATAGAAGTGATGCTTCATTGGTCAGAATAATCAGTTTTAAACTAGCTATAAAGTTCACTGCTTCAATTAGCCCATTTATTGGAGCAGCATTGTTTATTTTTTTATTTTAATAAAAATCAAAATATCTAAGCAGATAGGTTAACTGATATCTGTTAATTCATGCAACCAAGGGGTTTCCATGGATGTGGGAGTCCCAAAATACAAGGTAGTGGGCAGGTTTACATGATTTGAAGCCTTGCCACTTTTCTAGATATGTGTCATGCATGCATTGCACATCCAAGGGGGTGGGGCTTTGATCTCACCTACCATCTTAACTTTTCTGACACCTCACCCCATTGACACTCCTGATGATGCTTCACAATAATAGCTGGATTGATCCATAAATGTTTGTTGCACAAGCCATAAAAGCATGGGTTCCCATAGTGCTAAACTCTAATGAGTAGGTTCATACATCATAATAAACTAACCACATGAGCCTAGAATGGCTGCTTGGTTTGGATTGCTTTAGTTGGATTGGTTTATATGGCTGTCAGGTTTCCTTTCTCTGATGCTGAAAAGCTCATAGAAGGACCAACAATTAATTTAGATTTCATTTACATCTTATCTAAGGGTTGAGGATTCTCTGAAGCAGGAAAAGGTAACCTTGGATATTGTGTAGGCATCCTCCCTAATTAGGTTGTGTTACTATTGCATTTTTCACCTTTCCTTTCATGGCAATATGGCAGCAGGGTGAGTGTTGAAGTTGGATGCTGGTTCCAAGGTTGTGATCTTAGGTGTCTTGGACATGATAGATCCTGTCAAAAGAAAAAGAAAGAAAGAAAGAAAGAAAGAAAGAAAGAAAGAAAGAAAGAAAGAAAGAAAGAAAGAAAGGTGTAATTACTGTTCCCTTTAAATAAAAATGATTTAAAAGTGATCTTCCAAAAGCATTTCTGCAGCTATGTGCAATTCTACTCAAGGAGCTATGCCTATGAAATGCTATGGGGCTTGGATAAAAATTCATCTATCTCCTGTCCAATGACTTTGCTACAGTCGAATGGAAAGGATGCAGTTTAAATTCAATCACATTTAAGTATCTAAAACATTTCCTTTATCTAAGTCATTTCAACTTTTTTATATTACTCATATCATGAAAGAGAACAAAAAAGGGAAAAAGCATACTATATTATTTAGGGAATTCATCCCTCTTAGAATGATACATATATTCCAAAACTTTTCTATTTCTTTAACCATATTCAAACAAATGTTTCTTTTTAAAATATTCTCTCTGGTAAGTCCCATCATCTATTTTCTTGGTTTCCACTTTAGTCTTTTCCCTTTGCCCAGTATCTTTCTTAATCTATGTATTTTGCTGAATCAAAAAGTTTATCCATATGTTCGTAAATGTTGCTGTAGATATAAAAAGTAAATCAGGTGAAGTGTCTTTGTATGGGGCTTCTGCCTTTCCATGTTTGTTGAAAATATTTTTCTTTCTCTCCGCTTCTCTTGTCATTTCCTTTCTCTCTGATGTTCCTGACATCTCTACAGCCCATTTTATCTTGTCCTCAGATTTATTTTGTAGTCTTAAGGGATAAATTGTTTTTCCAATTCTTGTGAATTTTTTTCCACTAGGATTAAATCATGTTTCCTTGTTTTGTTAAGTTCCATCTTTAAGTCTTTATTCTCAATTCTATATCCATTTATCTGTTTTATCTGCTCCTTCTCTGTTGTTTTCTGGGAATTTTGTTGTTGTAGAGTTAACTTAGAAATAGATTGATTTATATTTTCAAAGTTATCTTGTGTTTTAAAGCCATTGTTGTTTGAATTAGTTGCAGTATACTATATATTTCCTCCTGTGAAGTATTTATGTTTTCTTGATATGTTCTTTCTACATGTCTCTGATCCATGATGGCCAAGAATTTGAGTTTTTCTCTTCCTTTCTTTTCTCTGTAAATAGCTTTAGAGTCCCAATTAAATAGATATTTGTAATCCAAATAGTTCAAAACATTTTTTTTTCTGAAATTTATAATTCTCTCTTTGTCTACAGCCCAGGTTATTGTCTTTTTTGTCACAGCTGTTCTTTGTTGTTAAAACTTTGAATGTCACAAACACAGATTAGCTATTCCCAAATTTTGTCATAGCCTTCATCCACCATTAGGTGTCAGCAACTATTTGTTTTTCAATTTCCAAAATAAAGAATTATCTTTAAAATGAGAGTCTTAACCATTCAAACAATTTTAGATTTATCCAGATTTAAGTTTTAAATTTCAGGTTTTATATTTATTTCATTTCCATATATTTTGATCCTCCGTAAAAAGATTAATTCGCCGCTTTCGTTAGTATAAGGGTGGGGCGGAAATCCCCCTCCTTCCCTTTTGGAGGTATTTTGCTTCTTGGGGATCTTTTCCAGGAAATTAAATGTAGAATAGAAAAGAGAAGATCGAATTCCTCACCCAGTTTCAAGCATGCTGTTCACAGTTGTGCTGGTTAGTGCTTTTGGACTTCAGTTGCTAGTAGCTTGGGCTGGTTGATGTAATATGGCCAGCCTTTCTCCTGTCGGGTTAGAAGGCTTTCCCCAAGTCGCCGCTGTTCCAGAATCGCTGGAGCACCCTTCTTTCTTTGTCGCCTCTCCGGGGTGGCTTAGACCCACTTAGGGTCCCCAGGCAGGGAGAAATTAGCTGCGGGAGTGCAGAGAATCCACAAGCCTGCGACCAGTCACTACCGCGCAAAACCGGATTAAAAGAAATGTTTTCAATAAGAGTTAAAGGATTAAATGGAATGTTTAAAGATTAAACATTTTTAAGTATGGTTAAAAAGAATAAGAAATTTAGGAAATAAATATATATTAGCTTAGGAGGGATATATATTTTAAGTAGTATGTTATTTTTTATGTTTCTTTACTCTTGCTCTCCTTTCTTTTTTTTCATTGTTTTATTTATTCCTTAAGAAATGTAAAAGTGTGAGATGGTTCATATGGAAAAATAGAGTTAAATTTTTAAATGTAATTAATTTTTGAGAAAATCTTAACCAGTAAGAATACCTAGAATTTGGTGGGAGAAACCAATTAAAATAAGGACTGTAACAGGATCTATGATAAGGCAACCAGAATGATTGGATAGAAAAGAAATATTATATTCATGTGATTATTATTTTTAGCAATATTGGGAAAAAATATATATTTAATTCTTATCTATCAAAACAATAAGAATTATATTAACTCAATGTTTGCAAAAGAGGATGTTTTTGGGAAAAGAGGAAATCAACTAAAACCATTATGTGGATTATGGATTATAGAAATCAATTGTTAATGATTGTTTTACAAATGTGACCCAGACAACACGCTGTTCACCAATTAAGTGATTTATGTTTTTTTTAAAAAAATCAATAAAATATATTACAAAAAAAAGGAAAGGATGCAGTTTGCATAAATGTAAAATGTTCAGGTCAGCTATTCCCTATAGGCTTATGCAGTAATTAAACACAGGGATGTAACAATTCACACTGCAGTATACTGCAGTGAGTTTTTTCTTGCTCTCTTAAGGATGTGCATGCAGCTTTAGTAAATGATAATGAAAGACTTAGAAGATCGTCCGCTAGTTTAGGTTTCTAAGTACCACTTTCCTATTGAATCTATTCAATCAGAAAATGTGAAGGGCTTTTTTTCATCCATTATGTGTAGTGTTTGTGACTGGATCCAAAGCTGTGATAATATCATATTCTTTGATTCATCTATTTTCTGTACAATTAATCATAACATTCTCATTCCATCATGCAAATGCTTCTTTTCCTTATTCCTTTTAATGCCCTTTACAAGAACAGTATCTGTCTATCAGTAGTGGGATTCAAATATGTGAACAACTGGTTCTCTGTGTGGATGCCGCTTCCGGAAGTCTGTTTTGAGCCTGGGCAACAAAAAATTAGCTACCAGTTCTCCCGAACTGGTGCGAACTGGCTGAATCCCACCACTGCTATCTATTCACTGATTTGGAATTGTGTAGGTACAGAATCCTATCATATATTTGCCTAGCAATTTACACAGACACACAACAAATCTCTATAGCAACAAGACATTTGGTGTTCATTCTCTATTCTTTGCTTTCAAGTGCAGTAAATGACAAACATTATTTGTCAAAGGTAGTCTCCTTTAAAAAAAATTAAGCTGAGTAAGGTAAAGATTTCCTGCAGCCATTTCTTCAGCAGATCCCACTGAGACTATAGAGCTCATAAAACTGGAAGCACAAAAGCAGCCAAATTTTTTTGTTTACAAATAAATAATTTCTGTGGTCACTGGCAAACCCATGATAGTTGTGCAATCTGTGGAAGAAAAGACAGGATGATTATGGCTGCAAAAAATACAAGTAGCAGGATCTTGTTTACAATATACAAATCATGTGTTCCATAAACCTTTTTTTGTTTCCCAGTCAAACCTGCATTTAGAACATCTGAGAAAATTTATTTCCATATTGACTTGATTAAAGACACAGCAGGCACGGTTATTAGATGGCTATGCACTAATTTTGCAGTACATCTCTATTTTCATTCACTGCGGGATTGTTTATTTAAGAAGTTATTTGATTTGTAAAGCAGTTTTATATCATTTATAAAACAGCAGTAATATGAAGAAATGCAGCTTAATGTAAAGCAATAAGCCAGTGTGATATTCTTCATTTTAGCCTTTTTTACATCAGCAGGTAAAAATCAACTACTATCTTTTAACAGGAATTATCTATAGAGCAGACCTTTTCTAAAATATTAAATTTTTGTTGGATTAACCAAGTAGTTGTACGGTTTTCAAACCAATGGCTTAGCTATGTCATCATCAGTATTTAGAGTCAAAATATTATTTCAGTTTTAAATATTTCCCCTGACCAGAAGTATCTGGAGCACTATAATTCAGATTATCTTCCACTCATCAAATATTCATTTCAGTTTAATGTTGCATTTTGTTTAAAACCCACTTCATACTTAGCACATGGCAGCCAGATTCTGTTACTGTTTTTCACAATGAGCATGTAAAATATAAAGAGGGCCAGACATTTTGGATCATGTGGGGAAAAGATACATGCATTCTGAAATCCTTGGGATTTATTACTTATTGGGTTTCTCTTTCCTTATCCTTTGTGTGTTTATTACAGAAATCATTGCTATGGATGTTAGCCAAACGCTTTAGTTTGTTTGCAGTTATGGTCTCTGACCAAAATATTTCATGAAATGCCAAATGTATCCTGTTTATAGTGTTTGTATAGTAATTTGCTTTGTGCAAGCTGCAAAAATGTTCTCAGAGGCCTCATCTCTGTTCTGCCACAAATGCTCAGGTTGTTGCTCTTCCCCATACAAAACATAAATGACTAAACACTAACGTTGCTAATTCTTCTGCACTGCCATGCCTCTCCTGGAAAGGAGAAGGAAAAGGGATGGGCCAGCCATTAGATTTTTTTTCATCAGCATATCCGTACAGGCTGGCCTTTTCCAGCAGTCATAATCATTGTGGATGGAGATAATCTGCAGATGTCATGTTCACTTCAAAACAGTTTGCCTTTGTCTTGAACTAGGTGGAAGCAGCAACTGATTCAGATACCGACAGCAGAGGCATACGGGAGTATCATTCGGTTGGAGTGCAAGTGGAAGATGATAAACGGTAGGTTGAGCAATTTCTGTATATGTTTTTGTCTGCTTGATGTATAGATGTCAGACTCAAAACCAAGAATGGCACATGGCATGGCACACACGTGGACACATGACAAAGAGTTCTACAGGTGTTTATTCAAACCCCTCCCCCAAACAGTTCCTCAAAAAACACCCCTGTTGCCCAGATCTGGATTTCAAGTTCAGCCCAGCGAGAATCACTGGGTAACCAAGTGCAATGGGTATACACAAAGTCCAGGAAAGCAGTCTAGGAGTCAAACAGGCTAGGATACATAACACGAGCACACAAGGTACAGAATTGGGCAGGTTGCTCTAGCAACACTCAGGGCAGGGTTAAATAGGCAATGCCTTCATGAGAGGCGAGGTAGACTTCCTAGCTGACTGGCATTGTGCCTGTCTCCTCTCCGCTCTATATGTTCTTGGATCAGGAGGAGGTGTGGACTCCACCTCCTCTTCATTGCTAAGGGATGGCAACTGCTCCCGGTCTCATCAACCTGCTGCAGCTATGGCTCACCTCCCTCAGCCACAGCCTGTCACTGGTCCGATAGATCCAGCTGAGGCTGCTCCATCAGGCTAGCATTCTCTGAGCCCCAATCCTGACCAATACGTAGCTCCACACTTTCCTCTGCAGGCTCAAACTCACCCTCCTCCTCTGAACTCACATCTGGAGAGGGGTCCGGGAGCAGATCATATTGAGGACTCATCTACAATATACTCTAGGAACTATTCAGAAGAGGCTGTCCTCACCCTTTTTCTCTCACACATAGTATCTGGGCTGAGTTGCCTCTTACTCCTCTGAAATTCACCCTCTCCCTTCTGGGAATCCACCTCCTCACTATATTACATTCCATAAGATCAGAATTTCTCAGCCTTGGCAACTTGAAGATCTGTGGATTTCAACTTCATGCTGGGAATTCTGGGAATTGAAGTCCACATATCTTCAAGTTGTTAAAGTTGAGAAACACAGGTACAGATATAGTCATGTACTCACATATATCTATTGTTGTTTCCAAATAACGATGACAATCTTTTCTCAAATCCCATCATCTGCACCCTCTGTTTTAAACTTCATGGTTTCTAACTCATTTATTTGTGTTTAGTTTAGTGATAATGTGTCACTGTAGCATTTACAAGATACTTCTAGTTTCTACTGTGAGAATAAATCAACATTTGCTTTCCAAATGAAGTTTGAGTAATATTGATTTGTATTTTGCTTTGGGTCATTAATAACCATTTATCCTATAAAGACTGCAGTCCATTCATGTTGTGCCTTTCAATCTTTATATTTATTGTTATTAATATTTCTAAAGCTTTTTTTAAAACCCTGAAAATAGCAGAATGTAGATGGTGCCTTCTTTTTTATAAACTAAACATTGTCAATATATGGATCAGTGTGTTGTTTTTCCATTTTACTCCAGCCATGGACGATTTAAGCGCTCAAACAGTGTAACGGCAGCTGTTCAAGCCGATTTAGAACTTGAAGGCTTTCCTGGACACATAACAATGGAGGACAAGGGACTTCAGTTTGGTGGCTCTTTCCAGCGACATTCAGAGCCAAGTACTCCTACTCAGTATGGTGCAGTAAGAACTGTACGGACACAAGGCCTGTTTAGTTATAGAGAAGATTATAGGACCCAGGTTGACACCTCCAATCTCCCACCACCTGAACCTTGGTTGGAACCATCCATTGAGACTGTTGAAACAGGACGAATGTCTCCATGTCGCCGGGATGGGTCATGGTTTATGAAGCTGCTACACACTGAGACAAAAAGGATGGAAGGATGGTGCAAAGAGATGGAGAGAGAAGCAGAAGAAAATGATCTTTCTGAAGAAAGTAAGAACATATCTAATTCTTTCTGTGCTTATTTTTATCTTATAATTTTAATCTATTCACCTGTACTGTGACTGTCATCACTTTGCATTTTGGAATTGAACAAAATAGAGAATTTCTGATGGACCATGCACCCTGCCATTGCACCGCAATTTCCCCAAAGTATTTCCTTTTCTTGTAAAAGCTGAAACTTCTACATATCTATACAGAATCTCATGAATATGTTTCCTTGTAAGTACTGACTTCCAGATATGAAAGAGAATTCAGATGGGATTCCAAACATAAAACACAATACACTACACTTTTAGAGAGAGGAAGAATTAGATTAGTTAGCATTTGACTCTTGCCTTCATTATATATTACTAGCTTTAAAGAAAAATCGATCAAATTAATGCCAGAAGCCCAATAGAAATATATATTGTTTCTAAGTTTGACACATTTTATGGATTCTATTATTCCTACATTCTTATTAAACGCTTACTGGCTTTTCTTACGCTGGTTAATAGTAATTCTGAATAAAATTGTTGTTCACCAATCACAGTTTTGCCATCTGGATAAGTTACTCATGAGCTGGTCAACTCATATTGCATGATTAGTGCAATCTGCCCTCGGAAGACCACCTAGAAGTTATGTTTGGTTCAGAAAGCAGCTGTGCAAGCAGTAGCAGATGCCTCTTGGGGTGCCCATGTGTCACCACTGCTACACCAGCTGCATTGGCTGCCAGTCAGCTTCAGAGTGGAATTCAAGGTGTTGGTTATTTCCTATAAAGCTCTGTTTGTCATATGACCTGGATATCTGAGAGACTGCATTTGAGTTTCCAATCATTTCTGCCCACCCACTACATTCTGGCAGAGTGGGTGTGGTCCAGATCCCCAGTATAAAACACCATCTTGCGGGACTGAGGAAGTGAATCTTCCACCCACCGGAACAGCATCCCCCCCCCAAAAAAAATAAGAATGGCAACCTCTTTCCTGGAGTTCCTGAAAGCTTCAAAAACCTGTCTTTGGCCCCAGGCTCGAGGTTGATTTTTATTATTTGTTCAATGGTCCATGTTTGGTTTGGTTTCATTTAATTTTGCAGTGTATATGACTATTTTAATCTGGACTGTCCATCTGATATGATGTGTTTATTTGATTTGATATTTTTTCTAGTTTTGTACACCGCCCAGAGTCCATTAGAGATGGGCAGATAATACATTCAAATAGATAAATATAAATAGTATAGTATGACATCAGTAAAATATGACCAAAGCATGTTATGTAAATCATACTTAGAAATAGTATCAATAGTAGGTACTTGATTGATTGATTGATTGATTGATGATTGATTGATTGAATGAATGATATATTTCCAGTTCTGAACAGTACATACATTCTTAGAAATTGGAAAAACTGTTTTAGAAACTGGCATTTTATCAGTTATATTAGAGAAGTAAGCATACTATAGTCTATCTTGGTTATCATATATTATTTTCTATAGGTAAGGGCTTGTCTGTCTTTCATTCAGTTATCAATAGCAGTCCAAACTCCTGTCAATAGAAACAAACATTTAATAGGAAGATTGTGGAAGGAAATGTTTCAATTTACCCCACGCTAAGAGTAACACATTTTCTAATAGGTACAAGTTACAAGGGAGATATATTGTGTTTTGTGCTAAGACAAGTTGACTTTGGGAAGCTACAATATAAATTGTCCTCCACTCTTTCCATGTAAAACATAAACAGGCAGCAGGTCAGAAAGAGTTGTAGAATTTTTGCTCTACTGAATACAAAAATAAACACATCTTGCTCTACATTAAAAACAATTGGTTGGATCCAGAGAAACTTCATCAATCAATCAGTCAAATGAAGGGATGGTTTTTCAACAGAAGTCCTTCAATGCTAGCCATTAGTTAGCTAGCAAACTTAGTCGAATTCTATATCAGATAAAATAGATTGTATACTTCCATTTTAAACCAAGATAGGCATTTTCAAAGCTAAACATTTATTGAACTCTTTTTAATGTTGCACAAATAGAAATTATTTAAATGATGCTTTATTTCCTGAAAAGACTGAATTGCTTCAAACATGTTTTTAGCATAAACAAACAGTAATATATATTTCTCTTTTTAGTTCTAACATGAAATCAATTGGATTATTAACATTCCAAATTCTTTGAAGGCAAATAAAAACAACCCAAAAATATTTTAAAAGAGCTATATAAATCTCCATAAACCTGCTCATCTTAATCTACTTAAAGTACAAGTTTCATTTTATTCCAATATTCAATATTCAAAAAAATATTATAATAATTCTGCAATGCAAAAAAAGAAAATCTTGTCATGAGTAGTTACAGTACTTCAGTTCAGTAAAGCATGCAGGAAATAACCAGCTAAGATAGGAATTATTTTCCTTTTTTGCAATGCTATCCCATGTATAAGTATTATTGAATACTGAACACTATATGTTCAGTCGCACTCATTACCAACTGTAACCTAAATATAATGTACATATAAAAATATGCTTAAGAAAAAAAGGCTTCTTACAGAAATGGTGATCACTTCAGCAAGGAAAGACATTGGTGCAGTGTATCAATCCATGTAAGCTTGTTAAATCTTCCAGGTCAACACTCTCTTCCATGCTTTTTCATCACACATAATCAGGTATTTGTAGCAGGATATGGTAATAACATTATGTGAAATAACAAAGAGTTTGGTGGCATCTTAAAGGCTAGCCAACAAATTTATCTGCTATGACAGATGTTGGAATTTGTCACAACTTGAAAAGCATGTCGATCAACAGATGAATAAGATGAATGCACCTTCAGGAGCAGAAATTATGACCTTCCGGCAGCTCAAGACAGATACCATTATGTGGTGAAATTGGGTGCTTAGTAGATTTTATAGGAAAATTTGTGTATCTGAAATGTCAGTGCTTGTGTGTCTATTTATTTAGTCTAAGTAGATCTTCTTTGAGAAATAACTGGATGGCATTTATCAAATACCGTAGTTCAGTTATGCTTCTTATTCTTCTCTATGATTTATTCCAACCAATAAAAGTTTTCAGTAGTCAAAGCAGAGATGCATCTTGAAAGTCCGCACTGTTTTCTGTGAGTGCAAATTTCATTAAGATCCACGCCAGTGGGATTCCAGGAGTTGTATCCATGTATCCCTATTAATTATACATCTGCAATGTGCAGTTAATTACTTTTTTGTGTGTGCTGTTTCAAGAGAATACTTCTGAAGCTGCTGCTTATATATAGCACACTACTACAATATTCCTTCGTTATTCCCCACTGTAGATTCAATGGATGTTTCAGTTTGCTTTTACATAATATGGCCATCCTGTAGTCCTTCGATTAAAAGATGTGTGATTGTAATGTATACCTGGTATAGTGAAAATACCAGTCTCAAAGCACCAGCAATTCATATCTTCAGACCAACAATCTTGGTGACTGTGTTGATGGTGCTGATATATCCCTTTTGGACCATGAAATGAGATGATAGCCACCCTGTAATGCTTTTTGTGAATGATTAACTGTAAGGAATAGCCATTTATGGATAACATCTAATTTTTGTCAAAGCCATGGGAGCACTCTTCTTTTAATATTGTGTGAATGGAGAAGACATATATGAAAAGTTTGTGTCACCAGTAGTATATATTTTTGTAATTCATTCTCAGGAGCAGTTAGACAGAAGTGCTACTTTTCAAAATGTAATACTGATTTTTGGACAAGGAGAGGGGCTCTGAAACTGTGCAAAAGAAAACCAACCCACATCTTCATAGTATATTAGCATTACCTGTTACTCAGCTATATGTGACAGGAAACTTTCTTTTACAGTGCAGGGTTCTCAATGACATGGAGAAAATTTAGACTCCAAATTGAAATTGTTTAGACCAGGGGTAGGCAACCTTGCCTCTTTTATGACTCGTGGACTTCAACTCCCAGAATTCCTGAGCCAGCATGGCTGGCTCGGGAATTCTGGGAGTTGAAGTCCACGAGTCATAAAAGAGCCAAGGTTGCCTACTCCTGGTTTAGACCTTTGCTGAATATGGTTTCATCTACCAGCTGTGGCAAAAGTAAAAAGGAATGGGAGATGAAGGGGTGTTATTTGTCAAAGAACAATGGACCTCCCTTGCTTTAGTGATTGTTGTATAGTTTGCAAAATGCACTTTATAAGTTTAAGATTAATTTTTGTCCATAATTAATGTTGAAGCTAAGTGCTCAGTAATAAAGAATGGCATATTCTGTGTATATGTGTACCTGTGTGCACACACACCACTCAGACATCATGTATTGCATAATGTTTGCACGTCTTCCAAAATATATTATATGTTAATTTTAATGTATAATTAATTAGTCATTAGAATTTAAGTAAATATCTTTTTAAAAAGTACTTCCAAGAATAATACTTTTGAACATAAGCAATACATTAAATATATAACAAAATCTGGCATAAGAATTGAAAAAATGGATTCTCAATGTTCTTTTCCTGTGCAACTGTGCAACAATCATCCCAGTGGATCTATTTTGCAGTTTATTTTAGTAATCATTTGCCATCCAGGTATCACTTCCAGTGATGAACAGATATCTTCATCTGTTCTGTGTTCTGAAATGCAAAGCCATAAACAGTCCTGTAAAATTTCAGTATAAGTTTCAGTCCTTTAATCTTCTTCTTCCTCTCCCCTGTCACTTTATTAGTTTTTGAACTATGTATTTATCTTTTTTTACTTTTTAATTAATAAGAAAAAAGCAAAACTTCAATAATGGGGATGGTGATATATACATAAAAGTGTTTTAACAAAAAAATGAAAGAAAGACAACAAAGAACAAATGAAATATATGTCATTATAATAATAGTTATAATTCTATATATTCTTGTCTAACAAGAATATTATTCAAGTATGTATATATTTCTAATACATTTACATAACTATATTTGTTTTTAACCAATTGTATTTTATATTCATTATATTTATGTATACAAAGTCTAGATGTATGTCAATCTGCTCAGAAGAGGCAAGTACCATCAGATCTTCAATCCTTTTAATAAGTGGGGCCATACATTTCTCTTTCCAATGGTGCAATATCAGTCTTTTAGCAATATCAAGGGCATGGAGAATCTATTTACTATGCCCAATTGTCAAATTTCATGTGCTAGGTATATATAATTCAAAATAATATTATCCTCTGAAAATTTTACCTTTTGTCTCACATTTATATTTGCATAATCCATAATATATTTGATAAGTATGAGACATCGTAGAAACATGACAGTACTTTTTTATACAAACAAAATAGAGTCCAGTAAATTCTAAATATTATTTTTTGTTGTTGTATAAATTGTAATTTGAGGTCCGTTGACACTTGCTATAGAAATTAAGGCACTCTCCCATTGCTAGGCAATATAGAAACCTCTAATTCTTCATTCCACTCTTTTCTTAATATCTGCATATAAAATTGATTTATAAATAACAATTATCTATAAAAAATAAGTAGTTTTCTTGGTTTTAAAGACTAGTTTCTGGAATATAAAAATACCATACCATCCCTGCAAGTGTTTAAACCATTTTAAGCTAGATGTCCTGCATGTGATATATTCTCCTCATATCACACTACAGTAGCAGAAGTCCTTATTTCCCTGAAACTGGTGATTCAAATAATCTGTTTTTCTGACTTGTGCTTCATTTCTAGGCAGTTTATAAAGGCCTTGCTTTAACCGAAGCACTGCCCAGTTGTTTTCATTGGCTTGATGGGAATGAAGGTTGAAGTGTTGTGAAACACGAGATTTATGAATGGATTTAATTAGAAGCAATGCATTCTTTCTCCATTTTTAGACAATCAGGGAGGAGGAAAATCATGCCACTACATGGGTAATAGATTTCCAATCCCCCCCCCAAAAAAAACTGGAGACATTTTCATTTACTCTTGTTGCTATAAAATCTACTACACAAGGGAAGCCCTTCTAAGTGCAATTGGTTGTATTCAACTGCAGTAAATGGATTCTTCCTCCTCTTCCAAAACATTTTCAGTTGTGAGTTAGAAGAAAGGAATGTGCATTTTACACAGGAAGGTACCCACATGCAAAACTGAAACTGAATGGAAGTAGACGGGTCCTTTCATTCCTACATCTTGTCACTGAGTAGGCGAGACAGTAATGCTACCCCTATTAGCAATGAAAGGCAAGTAAGCAATCAAGGCAGTATGACTGCCTCAAGTAAGAGGGAATAATAATAATAAAAAACAGCCTAGTAACAGCAATGTGCGAGATAAGCAAAATTACCTCACTGCTCATAAGTAAGCCAGTGGTGGGTAAATTTATTCTCTTCCTCCTAGACTTCAGGGTCCAGTAAAGTACACTTTGTTACCTCCCAGATCCTGTTTGTCAGTCCAACCTGAGGAAAGTACCACAATGACAATCTCAGCTGCCACCACGCAACAGCAAACTCAGGATTTGTTGGGGCTTCTTAATCTGGCACCTTCCTTTGGTTTTTCTATCACAATACTGATCAGACACCCTTCCACTATGCAATAAATTGCTCTTTAGCTGGAGAGCAACATGCAAAGGAGAAGCTGGTAGGGCAAACATCACTGGACTGACTTCCAGATCAAATGCATTGTAGTCTGGAAGGGCTGCAGAATCCATTGGGCTAAAAAATCTAGGAACCTATTAAGGATCCAGTAGATCAGAATTAGGAGGAAAACTTTGGTAGAGTTTTGCCCATCCTATTCTCTACACTGGGATTGGAATTGCAGCTATATTTCACATGTATTTTTTTTAAAAAAAAGTCAGCCCAAAACTGTCTGAAAAAAACATGAATATCCGGTAAACACTGAACTTGACAGATTAGTGACAGAAACACCTGGATGTTCCATAAAAAGTAGATCCACAGAGAATAAAGATTCTAGTCAGTACAGCCAGGATTTTTACATTATTTTCTGAGGGGATGAAACAGTATAGATAAGATTTGATCATATGCTTTCACCTTGATTCCTTTGCAACTGAGAAAATAATTTCTTTTCTCAAGATTCTCATGTGGCTTTTTGCAATATTTTTTAAGCTGAGCTGATCTCTGATTTTCTTTCTTGAATACAGATTGAAAAGCCTGTGCACCTAATTGAATTCATAACCAAAGAGCAAGAATAGTATTTTTTTCTAGATTAAGCCTTGGTTATAAAAATATATTGTTTCAGATCTAAATTGATATTCATCCTTCATCTTCAGTTCTAGGTAAGATCCGAAGTGCTGTAGGAAGTGCACAGCTGCTAATGTCACAAAAATTCCAGCAATTCTATTGGCTTTGTCAACAGAATTTGGTAAGTTCACATTTTTAAACATTGCATAGTATATCTTAAGTTATTTATTATTTTTCTTCAAATTTTAAATTATTATTATTTATCTGGAAGACATTTAATTCCACATCTGATAAGCAAACAATTGCACGCATAATTTGTGCATAGAAGCTTTATTATTTGTTCATCTTGTTGTGCAGTACTCATTGCCTGAGCTTTAAAGAGGAAGACTCCAGTTCTCCTATGAGCATTTCAAAGTCATCTGAGAATTTATTGCATCTCAGCATGATCTGCATTAACACCTTGGTCTGAATATAAAGTGATAAAGATTGTGATAAGATTGCATTGAAATAATGTTTTATATCATTTTTATATTTGATAATATATATTTTTATATTAGAAATCACCTTGTGAGGGCATGACTTAGAAACCGGTCTTTAAAAAACTCTATTATTTTATAAATACATTAATAACATTTAAAAACTTGTTCTATCAAAATAAAAGGAATCAGAAATTCCACCCTGGATAGTGAACCATGAATCTTCAGTACATCGAATAAATCATAATTTCTTCAAAACCATTTAGGACTCAGTGGGGCATCAAAAGTTATCTTATAAAGCTCTATCATTTTTTGTCCTGTAGTACAGTCAACCCAGAACAGATTATTTTGGTTTATAAAATATTAAAATTAGTAATCTATCTTATTCATCTATCCATCCTGCAATAGATTCCCCATTCTTTCCAGTGCATAGCCAATGGCTGCTAATCTAAAAGGCTGACGGACTGCAAGAATTAATCAAATGTTCTACTGTCCAAACTATTGAGCAAAATTGCCATGATACCTTTCCCATCAGTATGAGGCAAAATACCCACAATACCTTTTACAATTAGCTTTGTTTCATTGCTAAATTAGATATGAGGAAGGCTTTTGCTGGTCAATATTGTCAGCAAAGAACAACGTTACTGTTACATTGGCTTTTCCTAGAACTAAATAAAATTCTGAGGGGGCATTAGCGGATGTGACCTATAAGTCTGTCTTATTTAAAATCAATTGTTCTGTAATATTTGCAGTTTAACCTTTACCAGCATGAGAAAGCATTTCTTCTCTCTATGTCTATTTGAAATCTGCTATCCAGTAAGATTAAACCAATCCAAGATTTCAAGAAAACATATATATGGAATGCAACTGGAAATAGTCTTTATTTACTGTACAATCGCTGGATTTTGATTCATAGAATTAACATTATCAGCATCCAGGCCAGATTGTTCTTGTCATTGTGTCTCCTTCTCCTTCTTCTACACCAGTGAGGGGGGAGGGAAGCAAGTGATTATATGTGTCAAATAAATAAATAAATATGTGCATCACAATGGCAGAACATAAGCCCTGTGTCCAAAGTCAGGATACAAGTTCAGTTGAGGAGGTAAGCGCAGCTGAGTGCCCCCTTGGGGAAAGCTGGACTGGGCACTTGCCCTCTACTGCCCAGGGCTCCAGGCAGCCTGCATCGCTGGGGGTCCTCCGCGTGGCCTGAGAGCGACAGCAAGGCTCCTCTGGTGGACAAGTGTATGGTGCTTGCCCTGGTCTCATCTTCCTCCTCTGGAGACAATGGATCCCCCCAGCCCCACGCAGGCCACCACAGGCACCCCCGACACAAACGACGTTGAGCTGGCCACGCCCACCCCATCCATGCCCACCCCTGCTATGCCCCCCTGGCACGCCCCCCCAGGTCAACCACAACCCTGATACAGCCCTCAATGAAATCGAGTTTGACACCCCTGACACAGTCAACATAAATATTTCAACTCCTTTTAAGTAGATTATGCATCATTCTTGAATAAGCTGAGGCATACGTGTTTCATTTAACAATAATTTGCTTGAAACCAGACCATTGAAAGAAAGAAACATGGAAGCCAACTTTAAATGTGTCCAAAGGAAGAGAGTTTGGAACATAGTCCAAGTTATAGAGTCTTAATACAATTTGCCTGTGGATTCATATGAAGGGTGTTCTATAAATCTCTAGGCAATGCCAAACATGGTGTCTTTAGCCCATATTATAGAACGTATTCTCCCAAGTTACATTCATAGACCAAGACCAAAAGAATAATATAGCTAACAAATTTAATAAAGGAATAAAGGAATTCCAGCCAACCAAAACTGATTATTTGTATATTAAATAGCAGCCCTCTGTACTATATCCCTGTTCTGAAAATGGGGGAGGTTCTAAAAGAATCCAGAACAAATTAGCAAGGCAAAAAAACAAATGTAGACCAGTGGTCAAGCTTTGCTTTTTAAGAAATCAAAAACTGGTATACATTAATTACTATCTATTAACATCAATGTTGAATTAGTGATAAATTGCCAAACTTCCTTTCATTCACAAATTGTAATGCTAGCACAGACATATTTTCACACAGAAATGCAAATCTACAGACACACCACTGAAGCAGTGTTTCCCTATCTAATGACCTTTAGGCCTGTACAAATCCCATTATTTCAGCTAGAGTGACAAGTGATGTCTTTGAAACCCATTATGCCTTGAGGTTGCTGGGGGGGGGGGGGNGAGATGGCTCAAGTACCTTTTATATATTATATTTTGCTGAAACAAGATTTTTCTACATGTGCCAAGCTAGTAGATATTAATGCAGCCATTGTAGTGAGATCAGAGCTCAAAGCACTGTGTAAGTCAATACAGATGTGCTAACATGATCCAGATCCTTTTTGTTAATTGTCTCCCTCTGAATATAATCCTCTTATATAGGACTGCTGTATTATTATTATTTTAAGATACATAACTTCCTGAGTAAGATTACATTTAAGGATGCCTCAAGATGAAGCATCTCTTTTATTATGTGTTTTGAGGAAATTGTATTAGTCTGGAGCTATACACATTATTATAGATACATGTAGTTCAGCAGCACAAGACCGCTCTCTTGTGGCCCAAAGCAGATAAAGCAAGCTTCATTTAAGGAAACAACTAGACTTAAAATTATGTAGTTGTGCTACAGATTGTTTCAACAGAATACTAGACCTTTGTTCAGAAATAACTAAACTTACAGGTTATAAATAGAGGATTTATGTACCTTCTAACTGATAGGTGCTTAAACTTATTTAATCGTCAATGGGAGGTGAAGTGATGTCAGGAGAAATTCATCAGTCACTTACCTTATCTTGAGAAAGGTTATGATAAAACTTGCCAAGAACTGAAGGAGTTCTCCACAACCCAAGGTCACACAATAATGGATTTCAGTTACATTTGTAGAAAAAACTTTGTAATGTTAAGACTAATTCAACAGCAGAACTAATTACCAAATGAGGTTGAGAGAAGTCCCCCTTTCCTGGATGTTTTCAAGCAGAAAGTAAAATATTTGGTATGTTTCAATCTGGATTTCTGCATTCAGCAAAGGGTTGGACTTTGATGGCTTGAGTCTTCCATCCAACATTTGACCATTTATATAATGCCAAACATGTTCTACACCCTAGTTTTCAAACAAATGACATTTGGTTTTTTGTTTATTTGTTTGGTGAATATGGCAGGATCCCAGTGCTATGCCCCGGCCAACTTCACAGGACCTAGCAGGATTCTGGGACTTGTTACAACTCTCAATTGAAGACGTCAGTATGAAGTTTGATGAACTGCATCAGCTGAAACTGAATGAATGGAAAATAATAGAATCGCCCGAAAAAAAGGTAAGCACAATTCATTTTCAGATTGCACTGTCTAGTTGCTGGTGGTGCATTTCTTTGACTTTTAAGCCTGAAATTATTTTTCTTGTGAAATCATTAGTGGACAACACTCTCCAGAAGTGCAGAGAACATGACAAGTACCATGGCAGATATTTCTCGGCATGCTGACATATATAATACCATAGTGAAGACCCCTCTCTCTCTCTCCCTCCCTCTCTCTCTCTCTCTCTCTCTCTCTCTCTCTCTCTCTCTCCCTCCCTCTCTCCCTCCCTCCTTTCCTTCAAATAGAATTTATGTGCTACTCAGACCAAAGCTCAAAGCAGCTTAGAAAATATAAAAATAAAAAACATATTAAAATACAACTATAAAAAACAATAGAAACCCCCCTCCTTTCAACTCAGTATCCCAAGGAACAGCTTTAATAACCAAACCCATAGGCAGGTTCTTCTCATGGCTACACTATTTCCCCAGGGTCTCTGAAAAAGCTACTATTTTGTAACCTTAAAAAAAAACCAGGAAGTAACCAATCTAATCTTAGAAGGAACACGATTCCAAAGAAATGAGGCCGTGACTGAGAAGGTTCATCCCTGTGCATTCTGAAGATGACACTCGTTATGATATGACACCTGAGCAAAACCCATCTTTCCTAATGTTGCTGAGTAGGCAGAAGCCACTGGGAGAAGGCAATCCCAATAGGTATCCAGGTCATATGGGACTTTAAAGGTGATAACCAGAACTTTGAACTATAAGGAAGCTAGCAATTAAGGCAGCTGTTACAGTAGATGGGAAAATGTAGACATTCCTATCACTACACAATAGGATGAATTCTGGGCCACCCGAAAAGATGGCTAAGGAATGAGTAACAGGGCCTCCTGATTCAGGATAAGCTGTTACTGGTGCCCCCCTAATGAAGTTGTGTGAGAGTCCTCCTAATCTCAGCTGCTGCCTGGTCTTTAAGGAGCAGATATGAATCCAAGATGACCTCCAAACCCCATTCTGCACAGAATAGTACAACCCCAACCAGAACTAAAGATGGAATATTCCTGATATCAGAAGACTTTTGCACATATAGCCTTTAACTCTTGCTGAGATTTAACTATAGTCTATTAATCCCAATTTTCTGGCATTGAGATAGGACTTCACCTCATCTCCTGTTTAACCCAGGAACAACATCTACAACTATCATCTGTATACTGATGTTACTTGACCTTTTGACAGAGAATGACCTCACACAACAGCTTCCCGTAGATATGAAATAATTTTCAATCTTGGGCCACCCTGTAATAGAGAGGTCTAGGGCAGGACCTCTACCCTCCCACTACTATTGACTGGAACTTCTATTTCAAAAATCAGGCAAGTGACTGCACAATAAAGCCCCCAACTCCAAACCCCCAGAAGTGGTCCTGTAAGATATCATAATTGGTAATATCAAAAGTTCCAGCTAGTGAGAGTTCCAGCAAGATCAGATCAGCTATAGTCCCACTGGCCTGCGGTTGCCAAAGGTCGCCCAAAGGAGTGATCGGTGTGGCCTTTGTACCATGGGCTCTTTTCAGTTGTAGACTGATCACCTTTTCCACAATCTCCCCTGAAAAGAGGGCATAGTTATCCATTATTGCCAAATCAAGTGATCACTTCTTGAGGAGAGGCCACACAACGTTCAAGGCAGGTATGGCCTATGCTGCCTCTCCATAATTTCCAACCATCTCTGTTGCTCCCTTAGTAGTTTTCATAAACCAGGAAGGGCAGGAGTCCAAACCACAGGTGACCAGGTTAACATTACAAAGCACCCTGCGCAGTAATAAATTACAGTAATAAATTCAAACTCCTCCCAGATAACTTAGCAAGATGCAGCCTTAGTTATGTCAGATAGCATCTAACACCAAGCTGGACTTGAACAATTTTATCTTCCAAATGCCTTCAGTGGCACAGAGACTGTCTTCAGTTCAGCAGCAGATTGGGCAGTCATACAACACTTAGCTCAAATTCCTTCACCTTGGTGTTCTGATGTTACTTTCTACTTAAATTCTAATGAGCAGCCAGTTACTTGCACCTTTACTAATAATGTGCTGCACATGCAATTGTCTTAGCGTTAGATAGAATATTTGGATTTTCTGAGACCAAGATTAGAAATGTAACGTGAAAATTATGTCCTAAGGATTAATCATATTTTTGGTATAATTACCTGGTCCAATTATGCCCCGACATCCCACAAAACTGCAAAAATTTCTTGAGTTCTTATATTCTCACCTTGATCTCATGTTAAGATGCAGATTCTGCAGAACCATCTCATAAGATCTTGGGTAATATTTGATGACTTTGCAACATTTTGACCAATATTGTAATTTAATTTGGAGGCGTGTCAGTTCTTTGTTAATTTAAGTGAAAGCAATCTCCCTATACTAAGCAAAATGAACCCTGAATATTAAAAGGAACACAATCTCATTAGTTCCTTTTTGAATACTTGCTCAGTCAATAGCCTGATCAGGATTTTAGTAAAGAAGGAGCACAGAAATGTGCACACAGCTGCTACCTCAGTTGTAGTGAAGAAACACATTAGTGTTTAAAAACTTGTCTTTATACCGTTTTCACTTCACCTCTAAGGCTGAGAGTTCTTAATAAAGCCAGTTAAACGTTAGCCCCATTGACTTCAGTGTGAGAGTTTAAAATCCATCTTTCTCTTCCATGAAAGTTAAATACTTCAAATTTGTATTTATAGTTGCATCCACTCTTGCCAGAGGGATTTAGTCATTTTGGCAGAGCTAAACAAAAAGTGCTGAGGACACTAGTGGCCCATTCTGTTCACTTCTGTAGGGAGTGCAAGGAGGTCACCTGTTTATTTATCTCTACTTGCCCTACAAGATCTAGCAGAAACAGCATGCTTCAAGTCCATTCTAGGAAACAATATCACCTAGTGCAGGGGTAGGCAACCTTGGCTCTTTTATGACTCGTGGACTTCAACTCCCAGAATTCCTGAGCCAGCTATGCCACGAGTCATAAAAGAGCCAAGGTTGTCTACCCCTGACCTAGTGGGACATAGGAAGTGTGCCTATTCTGTTGTAGCATCTTCCCTATGGAATAGTGTTTCCCCTACAGGGAGGGAGGGAGGGAGGGAGGGAGGGAGGGAGGGAGGAAGGAAGGAAGGAAGGAAGGAAGGAAGGAAGGAAGGAAGGAAGGAAGGAAGGAAGGAAGGAAGGAAGGAAGGAAGGAAGGAAGGAAAATATATATAGAGAGAGATGACAGATGGTAGATGATGGATGGATCGTATAGATAGATAGATGATAGATGATAGATTAGATGATAGATAGATAGATAGATAGATGATAGATAGATAGATAGATAGATAGATAGATAGATAGATAGATAGATAGATAGATAGATAGATAGACAGATAGATATTAATAATACCTGATGCATATTTATATTTGGAACAGAGATAAGAGAAACATTCTTGATTGTTGCAAATAAAGGAGAGAATGCTCCAACCTGAAGGGCAATGCAGACCCAAAAACCATGATGATATCAAAATGATGAAATAGAGGCCGTGACAGGTCTCATCGTTGCACGTACATACATAAGGGTCAGAACTTGTGTGGCAATGCACATTTTGTCCCTCGTCTTCTGCCAATGTATGCATGAGCGCAGCTGACATTGGTCAGTGGCTACCATGCTTGGGACAGTCTCTACTGTCAGGGATGACTCACAGGGAGGCACCTGCAGCTTCCAGGGAAAGTCTCTCTGAATGAAGCCCATACTGGGCCTTCTTTCGGCTCCCTTCCTTCCGTGCTTCATTTCTTTTTTCTTTTTCCCCCCCTTGCATCCTAGGAAGAGAGAAAGGTCCCTCCGCCTGTACCAAAGAAGCCCCCTAAAGGAAAATTCCCCATCACCCGAGAGAAGTCTTTGGATCTGCCTGACCGACAGCGCCAAGAAGCTCGAAGACGCCTCATGGCTGCTAAGAGGGCAGCCTCTTTCCGGCAAAACTCTGCTACGGAGCGTGCAGACAGCATTGAGATCTATATCCCAGAAGCCCAAACGAGGCTTTAAAAGACCCGGGGATGCTGCATAGTTGCTTCCTCTCTTTTTTAAAAAAAAAACAACAACGAAGGAACCAAGCAAGTGCTTGTACAGCTGGTCTCCTCTTCCCTGCTCTTTTTTTTTTTTCCTCCCCGTTCCCAGCTCCCTCCCCGCCCCTGTTGTCGTCTCCTTTGTGCCAGACGCACAAGAAGAGAATGCTGTTTATGTCCTCAGAATTTGCTGAGCCCCGTTGCAAGAACCCCCTGCTCTTTTCTTTTTTGTATTATTAGGATCGAACTACGCCAGTCAGCTCCAATGCATAGGGCTTGTTGAGACCTTACTTATAAAATTACGTTCTCAGAGGACAACAGGAAACACCTCTTGAGATGGAACCCAGCTTACTCTTTTGGTTATTTATATTTTTATAAATGATGCGATAACTAGGAATAAGAAAAAAAAACAAAACCACAAACTTTGAATTGGGTGCATCTCTCCATTCACCAGAGGCATTAGCTAATTCAAGTAGAAGGTGCTACAAATGTAAAGTGCAAGAAAAGAAGGAATCCATTTCTCTCCTCCCTTCCCTTCCAGCTTCAGTTTCTTTGCTTTGAACCCGATTAGATTTTCTGCCCACATGCTCGCTCGGCAATTCTGCTTCTCTTGGTTACTGCAAACTCGCACCTGGTCTCTCCTCACATCTCACACTGAATTTTGGGAGATGAACAGAAATATCCAGCCATGAAAACTCCAACATTCATCCAGCACAGAAAAGCGTAGGAATCATTTCCAAATGGGAAAATCTTTCCCTGAAAGAAAGTGTCCCCTTGGGGCACCCATCCAGAAATTCGAAGGAAAAATGCAAAGGAACTTGAAGAAAGAGGAACAAAGGAAAGCCTTAAGAATTTTGATCATCTGTAGCAAGATGTGAAAGCTCTATTTACTCTTTGAGAACATTCATTACATTTTGAACAGTTCTTTTTATGTTGTACTTCTTTCATTTGTGAACACTCTTTTTTTTTTTAATTTGAAAAGCGATGCTACACGTAATATTTCGAGTTTCAAAATGCTAGATCAATTGAGTTTTCAGGGTATCCTTTCAAACAAAAAACAAAACACAAAAAAAGTTTGCTTGTTTAAAATACCAGTTGTGATGTTGTAACCAGTTTAAGAAATATGAATGTGAGTGGTACGTATATCTCAGTTTCAATGGTAATCTTAAGGTAAAAAAAAGGTGAACTGTGGTTTACATTTGTATTTTTTTTTCAAAATTATTTTTTCCTATGCAGTATGAATTAAAGATAAGAAAAAGTCTCTTGATTGTTTCAGACATAAATAACATGTTTTAAAAGACATGTGGCTTCTAACAGTAGAATGTAAGAAAGGTAGCATGTTTCTAAGTTCTTGATCAACATCACAGCAAAAGCAAGAAATTACACAGAAGTTTAACAAATTCTGAGAATAATACATTATTGTTTTTGCCTTCTTGAAGGCTGTGATCCACGTTTTTGAATCTTTTCAGGTGAAGATACAAGAAAACATATCCCACTACTATTGAAGTAAGAATTCTGAATCATACAAAATATTAGAACAGAGTCAAGTTTCTGTTATCAGTTTGTTAAACAAAATGTATTTAGCCATAGACAGAACCGCTATTTAAACTAGCCTACAGCACTTTGATTCTTCACCTTGATGAGCACTTTAAATATGTACTTTGCAAGCCCTTCCGCTTGTCACATGACTGAAAAANAGATAGATAGATAGATAGATAGATAGATAGATAGATAGATAGATAGATAGATAGATAGATATTAATAATACCTGATGCATATTTATATTTGGAACAGAGATAAGAGAAACATTCTTGATTGTTGCAAATAAAGGAGAGAATGCTCCAACCTGAAGGGCAATGCAGACCCAAAAACCATGATGATATCAAAATGATGAAATAGAGGCCGTGACAGGTCTCATCGTTGCACATACATACATAAGGGTCAGAACTTGTGTGGCAATGCACATTTTGTCCCTCGTCTTCTGCCAATGTATGCATGAGCGCAGCTGACATTGGTCAGTGGCTACCATGCTTGGGACAGTCTCTACTGTCAGGGATGACTCACAGGGAGGCACCTGCAGCTTCCAGGGAAAGTCTCTCTGAATGAAGCCCATACTGGGCCTTCTTTCGGCTCCCTTCCTTCCGTGCTTCATTTCTTTTTTCTTTCCCCCCCCCCTTGCATCCTAGGAAGAGAGAAAGGTCCCTCCGCCTGTACCAAAGAAGCCCCCTAAAGGAAAATTCCCCATCACCCGAGAGAAGTCTTTGGATCTGCCTGACCGACAGCGCCAAGAAGCTCGAAGACGCCTCATGGCTGCTAAGAGGGCAGCCTCTTTCCGGCAAAACTCTGCTACGGAGCGTGCAGACAGCATTGAGATCTATATCCCAGAAGCCCAAACGAGGCTTTAAAAGACCCGGGGATGCTGCATAGTTGCTTCCTCTCTTTTTTTTAAAAAAAACAACAACGAAGGAACCAAGCAAGTGCTTGTACAGCTGGTCTCCTCTTCCCTGCTCTTTTTTTTTTTTCCTCCCCGTTCCCAGCTCCCTCCCCGCCCCTGTTGTCGTCTCCTTTGTGCCAGACGCACAAAGAAGAGAATGCTGTTTATGTCCTCAGAATTTGCTGAGCCCCGTTGCAAGAACCCCCTGCTCTTTTCTTTTTTGTATTATTAGGATCGAACTACGCCAGTCAGCTCCAATGCATAGGGCTTGTTGAGACCTTACTTATAAAATTACGTTCTCAGAGGACAACAGGAAACACCTCTTGAGATGGAACCCAGCTTACTCTTTTGGTTGTTTATATTTTTATAAATGATGCGATAACTAGGAATAAGAAAAAAAAAACAAAACCACAAACTTTGAATTGGGTGCATCTCTCCATTCACCAGAGGCATTAGCTAATTCAAGTAGAAGGTGCTACAAATGTAAAGTGCAAGAAAAGAAGGAATCCATTTCTCTCCTCCCTTCCCTTCCAGCTTCAGTTTCTTTGCTTTGAACCCGATTAGATTTTCTGCCCACATGCTCGCTCGGCAATTCTGCTTCTCTTGGTTACTGCAAACTCGCACCTGGTCTCTCCTCACATCTCACACTGAATTTTGGGAGATGAACAGAAATATCCAGCCATGAAAACTCCAACATTCATCCATCCAGCACAGAAAAGCGTAGGAATCATTTCCAAATGGGAAAATCTTTCCCTGAAAGAAAGTGTCCCCTTGGGACACCCATCCAGAAATTCGAAGGAAAAATGGAAAGGAACTTGAAGAAAGAGGAACAAAGGAAAGCCTTAAGAATTTTGATCATCTGTAGCAAGATGTGAAAGCTCTATTTACTCTTTGAGAACATTCATTACATTTTGAACAGTTCTTTTTATGTTGTACTTCTTTCATTTGTGAACACTCTCTTTTTTTTTTAAATTTGAAAAGCGATGCTACACGTAATATTTCGAGTTTCAAAATGCTAGATCAATTGAGTTTTCAGGGTATCCTTTCAAACAAAAAACAAAACACAAAAAAAGTTTGCTTGTTTAAAATACCAGTTGTGATGTTGTAACCAGTTTAAGAAATATGAATGTGAGTGGTACGTATATCTCAGTTTCAATGGTAATCTTAAGGTAAAAAAAAGGTGAACTGTGGTTTACATTTGTATTTTTTTTTTCAAAATTATTTTTTCCTATGCAGTATGAATTAAAGATAAGAAAAAGTCTCTTGATTGTTTCAGACATAAATAACATGTTTTAAAAGACATGTGGCTTCTAACAGTAGAATGTAAGAAAGGTAGCATGTTTCTAAGTTCTTGATCAACATCACAGCAAAAGCAAGAAATTACACAGAAGTTTAACAAATTCTGAGAATAATACATTATTGTTTTTGCCTTCTTGAAGGCTGTGATCCACGTTTTTGAATCTTTTCAGGTGAAGATACAAGAAAACATATCCCACCACTATTGAAGTAAGAATTCTGAATCATACAAAATATTAGAACAGAGTCAAGTTTCTGTTATCAGTTTGTTAAACAAAATGTATTTAGCCATAGACAGAACCGCTATTTAAACTAGCCTACAGCACTTTGATTCTTCACCTTGATGAGCACTTTAAATATGTACTTTGCAAGCCCTTCCGCTTGTCACATGACTGAAAAATGCTAGACATTTTAACAGCAATCTCCAACCAGGTGCCTTCCATAGATGTTGAACTATATCTCCCATCATGCTAGTTTGCATGAACAATAGCAGTGTTATATAGGAAATGTACAAACGATGGGGAAGTTTAGTTCTAATGGATCTCAAGAGCACATGTTGGAGATTACTGTTGTAGGAAGTAAAGAAAACATTAGGGTTTCCATCCCTCATCCCCCTTTCTTCCAATATATTTTGTTAAGCATGCATTCTGTTTTAGGACAAAGCTGATATAAGCATGTTTAGCTTCAAGATACGAATCTTTAGAGTTGAATGTTTGAGAAGGAGGGAACACTGTAAATTAAGCCTGATCTCTTATGTAGAATTTACCAAATAGCCTTAAATTGCATTTGGAAGCAAAAAAACAAACAAACCCCAAGAAGAATGTACAACATAAGAAAGAAAGAAAGAAAGAAAGAAAGAAAGAAAGAAAGAAAGAAAGAAAGAAAGAGAAAGAAAGAACAATGACAACAATAATAATGAAATATTAATATTCCTGAACTATTAGTCTGTGATGATTAAGATATTCCCATCCACAGACTATTCAAAGAATTTCTGCACTTGGAAATAAATTGATTTTGGGGTAGTGTACAATATTAATGCTGCTTATAGTTTTGTTTTAAATGCAAGAATATCTGCAGGGATAAGGCATCTTTAAAGATAACTTTATTTCAAATGGAGCTGTTAATTAGAAATAACTACATGGAAATAAATGAATAAAATATGCATTTCTTTGAGACAGCAGATTTGAAATATATCTTTCTCTCCTTCTGCTACATCCCTATTATGCTGCTATATTTTTATTTCATTTTAT